GTGGGGCTGTGGGCAGCAAGTCCTTGTGGAAGGGGCATGGCGCTTAGGCGCCAGGGATGGAGAGGGTGGCCTCTGTGGAGGGGTCGGGACCGGGGGAAGGGGCGACTGGGGACTGAACGGGAAGGGGGCGCCCGAGAGTGGGCGTCTGCCGCGGAGGGAGAGAAGGGGAGATGCAGAAGATGCTGCCTGAACCCCAGCTGGGAGCCTCTCCCTTCTCCCTCCTTCGGAAGAGATTGTTACCCGAGACTTTGATTTCGGTCCCATTCAGTTTTTAAACTTCAGGAGGGACCACAGGATCTTCTCTTGCTTTCGTCACACCCACTTAGCCCTGCTTGGGGAGGGGGGGTTTCCACTTCCTGGGAACCTAGCCCTGCAGATCATCTTTCTTTGAGATTTTTTCCCCAGATCCCATCAATTTCTAAGCTGGGGGAAAAAGAAAAAAAAAAAAAGAGTGTGGGCACTTTTGCTCTGGCCATACAATGGCTTTTAGCCTAAACTGTTGAGGACCACCTAGCTCAGCATGGCCTCAGCACCATCGCGACTGCTGAAACCTTGGACAGTGTCTCCTTACCCGGCTTCATGACTTTTCCCTCTTCCGTTTACATTATTCAGCTTCCCTGACCATGTGACTGCTTATCTTGACACACGGTGATTAGATAGGGTGACTGCGACGTCTGTGTTGTGCTCCTTAGAACCATGGCGTGGATCATGATTTTTGAGATTAAATGCCTTTGTGAAAAGCTGTTCATCCTTTTTTTTTTTCTTTGTGTTGACTAAGCTTTGCAGCAGTGGAATGAATTTCATGGGTGTGGTGTAACTGGAGCGAATGCTCAGGCTGGACAGTCACAGGAGCCGGCGTCGTTCTGAACCCAAAATGTTACAAGTAGGGGGAAGAAAAGTACTTTGCTAACGTATTATGAGTTCAAGTTTTTGGAGTATTGGATAAACATTTACAGATGATTTTTGTAGCAGTCCAGTGAGTTATGTTGGGAAGGTATTATTCTCATTCCACAATGAACAAGCAGAACTAAGAGAGATGACTTGATTTTTCAACAGTTTATTGCTCTTCTTTCTTGTTGACCTGCTAGACTGCTAATCCTTCAAGGGCAGGAGTCATATCTTATTTGGTTTGTTTGGCTACTAGCCTAGAGTATGGCACGTTGTGGCACTTGGTAAGTGTGTAGTGAATACAATTTCTGAAGGTCACAAAGCAACAAGTGTAGGACAAGGGATTTGAACCCAAGTCCTAGCTCTTCTCTCGTCAGATTTGCCAGTTTGTGTTATTGGTCCATAGTGAATACAACAGGCCTGGGGAAAAGGCTTGGCTGGGCTTCTCAGTCTCTTACTTGATGACTACTTTCCCATTTACAAAGGGCCGATATCAGCATCTCATTTAACTTTCACCACAGTCCCGTGAAGGCCAGTGTTGTCCCTGTTCTACCAATAAAGAAACCGAGGCTTAACAAAGTCCTTGCTTTAGAGTCCAGAGCTAGTGAATGACTGAGCAGGAACCCAAGGCCAGGCCTTTTATCCTTAGACCCATACTTTTCCAGTCATAGAAGGACATAAAGTTTTATTTTAAAGTGTTTTTTTCAAGTATAAATGTATGCCATTTTAAGAAAAAAAATAGTATATAGACAGCAAAAATTGTGACTGTAGGATGCAATCAAAGTTCGGAACTCTGTACTATACCATAGCTGCCTCTTCCTGGGAAAACATTCTCTCATCCAATGAATATTTGTAAGTGCCTGCTCTATGCCAGGCATTGTTCTGGAGTTGAGCTGTCCAGGATGGTGGCCACTAGACATATGGGGCTGTCTAGCACTGGAGATGTGCTATGAGCATAAAAGACACACCTGATTTTGAAGGTTTAGTATAAAAAAAAGATAATATCTCATTGGTATATTTATATTATAGTAAATATAACATTAACATAATAAATATAATATTAATACAACGTGAGTACATTCTCTAATTGGTTATTTAAGTTTTTTTGGGTTAAACACAGTGTAATTGGAATTCAATTCACTTGTTTTCTTTTTTAGTTTTTAAAAATGTGTTTCCTAGAAAGTTAAAAATTATATTGGACAGTGCTGTTCTACACACTGGGAATATAGCACACAAGGAAGGCAAAAATCTCTGCCCTTGTGGATATTACATTTTAGTGGGAAAAGGCACAATAAACAAAACAACCAAGTATATGATGTTATAATAAGGCATGGAAGTGGGCTGTGGAATGTTGGCTGGGGTGGCAATTTTGAGTTTGGGTCCTCAGAGAAGCCTTCCTGAGAAGGTGCCGGCTGAGTGAAGATCTGAAGAAGATGAGGGGGAAAAAGCTGTGTGGCTGAATGGGACATAGTGGTCCAGGCAGAAGGAATAGCAAATTCAACAGTCCTACAGAAGGAGCACCCCCGGCGGGTTTGTGGACCACCCGGGAGGCCCCTGGCTGGAGGGATGTGATGGAGGAGAGATGCTGAGGATGAGGTTAGAGGTGGTGAGGGTAAGGGGAGAGATGGGCAGGTGGTGGAGGGCTTTGCAGGCCATGGTAAGGACGTTGGTTTTCACTCCGTTGGCACCATTGGAGGGTTTTGAGCAGTGGAGTGGGCACGATCCATCCTACCTTTTAAGAGGCTCACTCTGGTTGCCATATGAAGAAAAAAGAAAGAGGAGCAAGGCTAGAAGCAGAGAGACATGTTCAGAGGCGATGGCCATGTTCCAGGTGAAGGCTGGGCCAGGTGGTAGTGATGGAGGTGGTGAGGAGAGGTTGGGCCCTGGGTATATTTTGAAGTACAGCCAACAGGGTTTGTGGATGTGGGATGTGAGGAGGAAAGGCCCAGGGTGACTCCACGGTCTGTGGTGTGAATAACTAGAAGAGTGGAATCGTCATGAATTGCAGTGGGGAAGACTGGAGGAGGAACAGGGTTGGGGCTCACTTTTGTTCACGTTGGTCCTGAAACCTCAGTGCCAGTATTGTGGGCAATTAGAGAGTCCGGAGCTGGGCCTGGGCTGGAGATGCACATGTGGAAGCAGTTAGCACGAGGACAGTGTTTACAGTTAAGCGCCTGGGCCAAGTCACTTACGGAGCAGTGTGGATACATATCCAAGGAGTGCTTCTTATTGGAAGTCAAATTTTGAAATGAAAACTGTGTATGCTATTATACCAGTGTAGCAAAGCATTGTGTTATATCTCAGGGAACTTGGTTTCCCCTCCGTTTCACTTTTCATTTAAAGATTCTTTTGCAGACTGCAAGGTAACGGGTTTCTGTTTCTCTTGAGGATGCTGCTCTTCCAAGTGCGCTGCTGTGCAGTGCCGCTGACATCGGTTTGAGTGCCAGGTTCTGGAGTTGGTCTGGCTTTCTGGGTTGGCAACCAATGTAGAGATTTCCAAGAAGGATGGGTAATGGGCTTTTAATGTCTAAAATGCTGGTTTTACCTACGGTGCACGGAATGCATGCTGTTTGTCAGGCATCCTATTGTTTCATAGATTTGAAACAAAAAGAACCTCCCTGAGGTGAAAGGACCCACATAAAGTCATGCAGCTTAGACATGGCAGAGCTGGGATCTGAATCTCGGTCTTCTGAGTCCAGATCGGATGCTTCCAACGCGAGACACGCAGAAATGGGCGCCTGAATGTAAACTCCCAGGGAATCAAGTCAGTGAGCTGCTCTTGAGTGATTTTGAGTCACTTCGGACTGTTATAGACTCTGGAATTTCTGAGGGGTAGGAAGAAAAGGGAAGATCTTGTTTCCCTTTAGAAAAAACCAACGGAATCTTTTTGTTTTTTTAAATATATTTTTATTGATTTCAAAGAGAAAGGGAGAGGAAGAGAGAGATAGAAACATCAATGATGAGAGAGAATCTT